CCGTGGTTTCATTCCTAATTCCAAGCTGTAACCAGAAGCTTTGCACCACTTTGTTGAACATCTATCTTTATTTATCTTAGTATCTCCAAGGATCCCGTTTTTCTCCTTCTGATTACTTCTAATTTGGGCATCAGCACTCCAGCCCCCAAGTGAACGACCTGCCAGTTCGCACTAATCCTGTCAAGCGCCGGGGAGAACAGGAGATTCAGGCAGTTCAACTGAGCATATTTATTGCAAGGTTAGCACTCTATAAGAATCTGACCAACTAGCGTGGTCAAGGGAAATGAGCAGGAGATAAGAGAGGCATTTATGAGCCCACAGGGATTCATGACTGATGACGCATTTGACCCCTCGCTCGGGCTCAGCCTGGTCACCTCCTACAAATCCTTAATGTCTTTATTTCTCATGTCACCTGGTTTATACGCAGGAAGGACTGATTGGAGATGGATGGAAGAACTGACTGTCAGAATTCCACTCCCAAAGAGACCGGAAATTTGGCATTATTCTCCGGACTTTAATGTTACTTTTACGCAGTTTTTTTTTAAAAAATATGTTTTAAGAAAGATCAATCTGCTTTCCCCACTTGTTTGAGTACTCAACCGGTTATGCAAATACATTTAAAAACCCACATCCATTAAAATAGAACACTCTTAAAGCCACTGAACAGCAAATTAAAATAATTTGTCAGCAAAAATCCCTTTTAAAAACACAACATAAATCAACAGATAATAGCAAAAGTTTTTTTAAAAAAGAAAACTCCGAAGGACTTCAGAGACAGCTCTTTAGTTCAAACCTTTCTGTTGACTTAGCTCATTAATTGTCTGCATTTTAATGTGTATTCCATTTGCATCCTATCTTTGATAGATAAATGATAGATAGATAGATAGATATATAAAGAAAAAAATATAGATAGATAAATAAAGAAAAAGAGAATGATAGATAGATGATAAAGAAAAAAGAGAGAATGATAGATGATAGATATATAAAGAAAAAAGAAAGAGAACGATAGATAGAGAGAGAGAGAGTAGATAGATGATAGATGATAGATGAAGGAAAAGAGAGAATGATAGATAGACAAAGAAAAAGAGAGAGAATGATAGATAGCTAAACAGAGAGTAGATAGGTAGATGACAGATACATAAAGAAAAAAAAAGAGGGAGAAGATAGATAGATTCTTGGTTCCTGACCTTGCTTAGAATGGAAGGTTAGCAGCTTTTTGGAACAGGTGTAAGTTGTATATTTGAGACACGTTCAGAAGTGATTCGGGATATGTATTTCTGGGTGAGGTTGAGTTCTTGGGAGAGAGGGATCCTCCTGGCACTGTCGGTTCCTCGTCCAACTCTTTTTCCTTCAGTGTGGACTCTTTCAAGTTTCTTTGAGATCCTGAGAGGTCCTTGGTGCTCTCCGAGCTTGCTTGTTTTCTTGCAGACATTTCATGACCCAAACTAGGTAACCTCAACAGTGCTAGAAGGGAGGGGGAGGAGGAGGAGGAGGATGTGGTCCTTAGTGCTCTCCAAGCTTGCTTGTTTTCTTGAAGACGTTTCTTGACCCAAACTAGGTAACTTCAACAGTGCTAGAAGGGAGGGGGAGGAGGAGGAGGAGGAGGAGGATATGGTCCTTAGTGCTCTCCGAGCTTGCTTGTTTTCTTGAAGATCTTTCTTGACCCAAACTAGATAACATCAACAGTGCTAGAAGGGAGGAGGAGGAGGAGGAGGAGGAGGATGTGGTCCTTGGTGCTCTCCGAGCTTGCTTGTTTTCTTGAAGACGTTTCTTGACCCAAACTAGGTAACCTCAACAGTGCTAGAAGGGAGGGGGAGGAGGAGGAGGAGGAGGAGGAGGATATGGTCCTTAGTGCTCTCCGAGCTTGCTTGTTTTCTTGAAGATCTTTCTTGACCCAAACTAGATAACATCAACAGTGCTAGAAGGGAGGAGGAAGAGGAGGAGGAGGATGTGGTCCTTGGTGCTCTCCAAGCTTGCTTGTTTTCTTGAAGACATTTCTTGACCCAAACTAGGTAACCTCAACAGTGCTAGAAGGGAGGGGGAGGAGGATGAGGATGATGAGGATGTGGTCCTTGGTGCTCTCCGAGCTTGCTTGTTTTCTTGAAGACGTTTCTTGACCCAAACTAGATAACATCCTCAGTGCTGATGGGGTTACTTAGCTTGGGTAATGAAATGTCTGCAAGAAAACAAGCGAGCTCGGAGAGCACCAAGGACCCCTCATTTCATCCCTGAGCTACAAATTATTCTCCAATATTGGTCTTTAAGACCCTTCCCGAGACCCCCTTTCACTTTCTTCCGAAACATTCCTGCTTAAAAAGGGAGAGTTGATCCTTGCAACGCTGATTAATTCTTCAAGTGGCAGCTTTATGAAGTGTTATTTATTTGTCACAAACTGTGATGATGTACATTTTATTAACTTCCATAAATCCCCTGAATGTGATTAATGCATATTTTGTTCTTGGTTTTAGATTTTGAATGGGGGGGGGGAGAGAGAGAGGGAGAAAGGGAGAGGGAGAGAGACAGAGAGAGAGAGAGAGAGAGAGAGAGAGAGAGAGGGAGAGGGAGAGAAAGACAGACAGAGAGACAGAGACAGAGACACAGAGAGAGACAGAGAGAGAGAGAGTGCACATGTTACCCAAATTTGATTGTTACAAGGAACTATAGTTAGTTTGAAACTTTTAAAAAAGAGAACTTTTTGTGAGTGTAATAACAGAGTTGAAAGAAAGGGGGAACCCATTAACCTATCTTACAGTAATTCATTTTAAAATTATGCAAAGAGATAACAGATTTGGGCTCCCATGCCAGGTGATTATGACTTCTAAACCATGAATAATGGCCAAAGCGCAGCTTATTCAATATATCATGGTTAAGCAAATCACAGCTTATCTGTGATTTATCAAACCACTTTCCTCGAATTCCCGTTACATCTTAATTTAAATTCTGTAGGAATCTGAATTTTTGCACATTAGTCTGTAAACCCAGAGAAGATTGTTCCAAACGTTTCGGAGGATATACCGTATATGCCGGCGTACAAGGCGACCCGGCGTATAAGATGACCCCCGTCTTTGTCGCCGAGTCGCATTCCCAGTATTTCCGGCGTATAACACGATTCGGCGTATAAGACGACCCCCGTCTTTGGCGCCAATTTTAACGCTTGCGGAAGTCGCCTTATACGCCAGCATTTACAGTACCCGTGAATTGCGGTACTGAAGGTCAAACAGTAGCTGGGGGCTACCGAGACGGGCAACATTAGCTGCTAAGTGCAAACAGATTCTTTTGAAAAGCATTTCCCTCCACGTCTTCAAATGCAATTTCAGAACAATAAGGTGAGGTTAAAAAAAAAACAAAAACCCACAGATCATCCGGTGAGGAAGTCCACCAATTAAAATTCTGTGCCAGTTATTAGACTCTGTGGGAAGTCCCGTGTGCATTGAATCAAGATGAGATGAACAGTTTTCCTAATAGGCAGTGGCAAAGCTGGCCCTGTTTGTTCACAGTGGCAGCCTTTCATGTAAAAGCTTGGATTAGGATGTAGAATTCCTCGTTCGGTGTTGAAAATCATTTTAATTATGAAGGGCTGTCTTTTTTTTTTTTCATCCACCCCCCTCTTCTCAATCAGCCACCCTGGACTGTTGAGACTCTGAAAAGAGTTCAGAAAAGAGCAACAAAGATGATTAGTGGACTGGAAGCTACAACATATGAAGAACGGTGGCTGGAATTGGGTATGTCTACTTCAGGGGTCCCCAATTCCCGGACTGCAGCCCATTGGGACCCGGGCCGCCAAAGTGACAGGCAAGCACATGAAGCTTCATTTGTGCATGCCTGGGATTTAGGTTGCACATGTGAAACCATTCTCTCCCCTCACCTCCCACCGCTGAAATTGCCGAAGCTGCCATCACTGGTCCACAGAACCAAAAAGGTTGGGGACCCCTGATTCTATTTTATTTATTTCTATTTATTTATTTCTAAAATTTATATGCCGCCCAATCCCAAGGGACTCAGGGCGGCGTATCCTTAATGAAAAAGATGAGAGGGGACATGGTAGCAGTGTTCCAATATCTCAGGGGCTGCCCCAAAGAAGAGGAAGTCAAGCTATTATCCAAAGCAGCCGAAGGCAGGACAAGGAGCAACAGATGGAAACTAATCAAGGAGAGAAGCAACTTAGAACTAAGAAGAAATTTCCTGACAGTGAGAACAATTAATTAGTGGAATAAGCTGTGAATGCTCCAACACTGGAGGTTTTTAAGAAGAGATTGGACAGCCATTTGTCTGAAATGATATAAGGTTTCCTGCTTGAGCAGGGGGTTGGACTAGATGACCTCCAAGGTACCTTCCAACTCTGATATTCGGTTAGTCTGACTGAGGCGAGAGACTTCCACAGGCGTTTACACAGCTAAAGCTGGGGTGGTTTAAATGGACACATGTGAAGTCAGCTGGCACTGTGCATTTTACTGGGAGAGGGAACCAGGCTTTGCTCACAAACAAGGATGAGATTTTTTTGGGGTTGTTGTTTCATGCAGCTTTATCCTAACAACTCACAGCATTTGCCCAATTAACCCACTGTTAAATGAGGAAATTTATGCCCTGCATTAAGCCACAGTGTGATTGGCATGGTTAAGATTCCTTGGGAAATGTAAACCCAACCCAATTTGCTGTAGCCCTGTAGCCATCAGGGCTACAGCAAATAGTATCTTTAGAAGGGGTGAATCCAGTTCTTTGACTGAAAGTCTGTAGCCTCTGTTTCTTATTCGGAATGACTCATAAAGATGGCCGTGGGTGCTTTGAAATAGGTTAATAACCCAGAAAAAAGTCCTTGATCTCCAAAAAGAAATTAAGGAACGCTAATTCTTGCTTCCCGTATATGTAACACAGCATCACCCACTGTGCATTGTGACTTCACCCAATGAAATATTTTCTGCAAAATGTTAGGGCTCCTGTCCATCAACAGGTTGCCCACCCCTGTCTTGAAGGAGACAGACATTGTAAAGTTGCTCCATCACTTTATGGGTAGTTTACAGACAGAGACGGCATCGCCTTAACCTCAGCTAATCTAATTCAGTGAATCCAATCTTACGTGAACAGTATTTATGATGTTTCTATCTCCCAATTCTATCTATTCTGTAACACACATGCTGCTTTGGCTAGAGCAGCCTCTTGATTTATAGCATGGACTCTTTATTGCTAAGGCTGGCTGAAAAATTCCTTGAGATCCTCTGGAACCTGAGAAGAAAGAAAAGAAAAATTAGGAAGGAAGGAAAAGAGTCACCAGGAATATTATGATCAGGGGACCTTTTCGTAGAACATTCCTTACACAGCTGAAAGGACTTTGTTTGCACCTCCCGTGGATGATGAATATCTCCTGGCCAGAGCATGTATTAGCTATGAGAAATGTATGTTAGAATGTTTGGCATTTGAAGGGTTAAGCGCTGTTGCCTTAAAAGATGGCTTATGGGTAATGTAGTTTTAGCTGTTCAGTGAATCCTATGTTAACAAGTCAGTGGGAGGGGCTACTAAGTTCATCACAGGATATCCTGGCTACGTGCCAGCTTGGAAAAGAAGCCTTTGTGAAGAAAGACACGAGGTGATATGTCCCATAAGAACCATGGGGTGAGCTCACCATCAACCTTTCACCCAAAAGAATAGAGAAGGTCATGATATTTTCATCAGAAGAGCTCTTCTTGACTGTAAGTTATTGTTTGAGATTCCTGACGAATAAATGATCTAATATTATCACATTCTTTGGCATTTATCTGATTGAGAAAAACAGGATTAAAGCAGAAATCTTGTTTGGACCAAGACAACCTGGAAGATCCTTCTTTGGTCTGAACCACACTTCCTACTTGATATGATATGACATCATAGCAGTCTTCCAATACTTGAAGGGCTATCACAAAGAAGAGTGGGACAATTTATTCTCCAAAGCACCAGAGGCCAGGACAAGAAGCAATGTGTGAAAGTTTGCTAAAGGGAGACCCAACCTAGAACTAAAGAGAAATTTCCTGACAGTGAGAACTATTTTCAGTAGAAGGGCTTGCTTCCAGAAGTTATGGGTGCTCCATCACCAGAGGTTTTCAAGAAGAGATTGGACAGCCATTTGTCTGAAATGGTATGGGGTTTCCTGCTTGCGTTGGGGGGTTGACTAGAAGATCTGCAAGACCATTCAACTCTGCTATTCTGTATTCTGCTTGTCCCAAACGAGAATGATGACCACCTACCATTTGGGAAGGGTAGAAATGGATTGTTTCATTCTCAGCTCATCCCTTCTCTGTTGTGGAGGTGACCTCTATCCAACCTTGGGCTGGTTAACATCGCTTGGTCTATTCACTTCTTGAGTAGGTTTCATGTCTACTGAAATGGCTTTTCAAATTTCCATCCTTTCCTCCACTTTGGCCCCATCGATGGCCAAATGTCCTGTCCAGACCAAGGTTAACATCATCTAGAAACCTGGGACGCAGATCATCTTCTTAACAGTCAAGGGGTTTAGCCATGGGACACAGATGAAGTGTGGAATAATCCTTGATTCATGTTGGGGGAAATATCATATCCTTTTGCTCATTGGATCTGAAATCTAATGCCCTGTGTGTACAGTATTTGGTTAAGGGTAACTGTGAGAATATTCTTACATGCTTAGTCATGAGGATCATTCCCTCTAAATCCATGCTACGTGGGACAATTATGGGATTTTTTACCTTGTCTTCATGTTTCAGGAAGAGTTCATATATGTTACAGGCTTTGGTGATCAAGTCATCTGCATCAAGATCTACAATGCTGTGGCAGAGCTGGTTGGAGAAGACAGGGGACAACATCAGCTATTTCACACTGCAGTTCATGGTTCAAATTCAATATAGATCAATATATGATTGATGGACAAGAACGGTGCTGATGGAGTTGGTAATTACTGATTGTATCCAAGTGGTCCTCAACTTACAACCACTCATTTAGTGATCATTCAAATGGCTACGGAATAAAGTGATTTAGGACCCATCCTCACACGTACAGCTATTACTGTCAACGCTGCAAATATTGTATATTCTTGCTTTTGACAATATGTAGAATTGTCTGGTAATTATGGGATTAATACGGAGCAGAAGGGGGGTTGGGGGTAAAGCCCGGGAAAGAAAAAGGAAGAAAACATTTGACCTTCACACTAATTGGATAACGTGAGATATGATGGTTAATTTAGGGAGGGAACATGCTGATAATTTAACTGCTCAGAGGAAGAGAACTTAGATCCTAGCATCCCTCCGTTGTGCCTGTGCTGACATTTTGTAACAATAAAAGACTTTTAGGAAAATAAATGCCTGGAAGTTCTTTGGAATGTTTCATTAGCTGGAACCACAACAATTACACCTACAAAATCTTGCAGATTCTTTTTTCAACAACTTTTGAAAAGACCAATTTTTGTAAACTACAACATGAGTCTTGGAATGAGTCTGTGCATTGTATTTTTGACAAGCTAAACTCTAGAAATTTACTGGGTGTAGCGTGTCGTTTTTACTTTATTGCAGCCTTCATAATTCCCTACAATCCACACTTTTCATAAGTGGCTTTCAGTGTGGCAATTCAGGGCTATTCACCCTGCGTTTGAATGTTTCTCTCCCTTATTCATCTGACTTACCATTAAAATGTCATCTCCCTCCAGATCTTCTCTGAGGATCTGGTCCCTCACCATCTGCAGCATTGTGTAAGCAACAATCACCTGGAAGTTTCTACAGGGATGTCCTGTCAGAAACACCTTGAAGTTCAACACAAATTAGAATTAGTAGACAACGTTGGCGGATTCCTTCTGTGATCCAGGATTATCACCTATGCCTCTTTCTATCCCCGCAATCCATTTTAGACTGTGATAAACTGTTGGTGAAGTATTTAGGAACTTGACCTCTGAAGGAGGAGGAAAAAGTGGTGGTGGTGGTGGTGGTGGTGGTGATGGTGGTGGTGGTGGTGGAGGAGGAGGAGGAGGATGGGGATGGAGTCCTTGGTGCTCTCTGAGCTTGGTGATTTTTTTGCAAATGTTTCATGACCCAAACTAGGAAACACCATCAGTGCTAGAAGGGACTGGGGGAGGAGGAGGAAGAGGCAGAGACAGAGAAAGAGGGAGGGAAGGAAAGAGAGAGGGAGAGAAAGGAGAGCGAGAAAGAGAAAGAGACAGAGAAAAAGAAGATCATCTCACTGGCATTTCTCTCAGTGCAGCAACTACAAAAAAATAGAGCTGTTGCATCTGCTGCCATGATAACTGCCAGCAAACTCCTGGCATTTGACTACCTTCCTGGCAAGAAGAACAAGCATGCTGATGCTCAACCTTTGCAAATATTAAATGAAATAAGAAAAGGTAAATATGGTGACAGATGGAACCAGAGTGGGAACTGTAGGTTGGTTTGGTTAGAAATCTTGCTACGGTCACTGTCCCAGTTCTTGTTGAGGACCCCCTCGATAGCCAAAAGAAAAAAAAAAAAAAAGAGAGAGAGAGAGAGAGAGAATGAAAGAAAGAAAGAAGAAAGAAAGAAAGAAAGAAAGGAAGGAAGGAAGAAGGAAAGAAGGAAAGAAAGAAGAAAGGAAAGAAAGAAAGAAAGAAAGAAAGAAAGAAAGAAAGAAAGAAAGAAAGAAAAAAAAGGAAGGAAAGAAAAAGAAAGAAAAAGAAAGGAAGGAAGGAAGGAAGGAAGGAAGAAAAAAGGAAGGGAGGGAGGGAGAGAAAGAGAAAGGAAAAAGGAAGGGAGGGAGGAACCGAATTAGCTGCTCTCAGGTGCTGAAATGGCATTAGGCAGGCACTGATGTCAACATCTGGAAACTGCTTGGTGCCTTCATATTTGTCCAGAGAATCAATGAAACACTTGACAGAGATTCTGTCAATAAAATTTGATTTGGGCTCTGCAGCGAGTGGGTGTGTTGTTTTTCCTCCCCTAAATCAGACAGGCTTTTTAGCGTAAGAATGAGTGCGAGGGATTGCTGTTGTTGTTTTAAGTGAACAACAGTTCTGAAGTGAGATGCTTATTGGTCTTTCGAGTGACACTGGAAAGCACTCTAAATCCAGCTAGGTGGCAAGATACAAAACATTATCGGTCTTCTGAGAATGTGCACCCAGTCCAAGAGGCCAGACTTGAACAGGAATAGAGTGATTCCCCAGAATTCAGTTGCCTTGTGAAGGAACGCAAAGGCGGTTTAGGATCTTCTGAAATGCTGGCTTTTATTCATAAAAATATCAGCTGGGCATGAAAAAGAGCCTCACAGCAGGAAATCTCAAAAAAAAAAAAATAATAATGACCCTCATTAGGTTTCTAGGAAGAAACAATCCAATCCTTGGATGTGTTTCCTGGTCCTGCTCCAAAATGTTGTGCTTTGACCCCAGCAGCTGGAGTGATCTCATCGCTGGCACTGAAATGCCAAGATCTCTGAACTGCTTTCCTTTTGGAGATCTCCTCTCTTTTGAGGAGAGTTGGACAGAAGTGGCCTTTTGAAGTTCTCCCAGATGTTTCTGGGCAGAAGACGGGGGGGGGGGCAACGGTTTCTGCAAATCAGTTTAGGGAAACAAATCCGTTTTGGGGTGTGTGCTGACTCAGCGGTTTAAAGACACCGAGCTTGTCAGCTGGAAAGTTGACAGCTTGGGTTTGAGACCCACGTGATGGGGTGAACTCCGGTTCCTTGCTCCAGCTCCTGCTCAGCTAGGAGTTTGAAAGCAGGCAAATGTGAGTAGATAAATAGGTACCACTTTGGTGGGAAAGTAACAGCGTTCTGTGCATCTTTGGTGTATAGCCGTGCTGACCGTGGAAAAGGTCTTCGGATAACATTGTCTGTCTCGGCCGAGAAGTGGAGATGAACATCGCACCTTAGAATGGG